GAGAAACTCACACTATCACACAATAATCACCTCCAGCGATAATCCAAAATGGCGGCCAGGCACTTTGTTGCTGTTACTGGGAAAATATGTCTTTTATCTTCTTTTTTTTTCCTTTTTTTTCTTTTGAAAGAATCACCTGTGTATTTATACTAAAACAATTATTTGCCTCAGCCTCAGTGAATATCGGAGAATATTTACCTTCTGAGACTCATGTCTCAGTAAATATTCCCCAATATTCACTTCGCCTTCGGCGAATAATTGTTAAATTATATATCGTTAAAATGTTACACTATGAATCCTTACCCTAAACCCATCCCCCAAACAATACCCCACTACCCCCCAACAAAAGACACTGAGCAAAATTATATGAGAAGTGTATTTGTAAGCTAAGATTATCTTAATTGTGAAGAAATTCTAAGACTATTAATGATAAAACTTAATGATAAAACTTAAAAATCCATAAATGTATTTTTTATCCAATCATCCATTAATTAATCCATGAATGGACCCAATTATCCACTCATTTATTTATTTATTCTTTTATTACATCAATGTGTTTTAACTATGTTATTCTATATAATTATAGTCTGATCGAGATGATGACAGAAAAAGACGAGAATGCAGAGAGGACTTGGTGAATGGTGAAGATAAAGACAGAGATAAAAGAAGAAAAGAAAGAAGTTCTGACAAAGAAAAGAGAAGAGATAAAGACAGGGACGGAGAAAAAACTAGAGAAAGGTCTGATAGAGATAAGGAAAGGAGAAGAGAAAAGGAAGGAGAAACCAGTGGAAGGGGAAGGGAAAGAAAAGAAGGAGAACGATCTGAAAAAGACAAGGTATCAAGCAGAGACAGGGAACGACTTAGGGAACGGGACAGAAGAGAAAGGGAGCATGGAGAAAGTGAAGGACGAAGAAGAGATAGAGAAAGTGACAAGGACAGAGAACGGCGTCATAGATCAAGGAGGGATCATGAAGGTGATGATCGCAGGGATGAAAGAAAATTAAAAGAAAAGGAGGATGAAACTGGCTCAGAAGAAAGAAGAAAAGACAGGGAACGAAGAAGAAGAAGAGATGAGGTACTTTAGATCACTTAATAAATAGTTAAACAAACTAGACAATGCATTTGCACTTTAAATATGAACAGTTGTTAATAACCACAATGGCTGACTTTTGATAGTGACAATGTAGTATTTTTCTTTTTTTGTGTGTGTGCTATTTTTTGACATTTATTTCTGGACAAATACATGTAAGGTGCAAGGATTGGGATACAATAGTTAAATTAATTGGCCAGTCAACCAAAGCTGGAATTAGTTTAAACTTTTTCCTCTAATATAAAACTGTTATGCCTCATATTTGCATGACATTAAAGTAGCAGCTATGATTTTGATTTTTCAGGGTGAATCAAGTAGACACCGTGATGAAAACAGAGACCAAAAAAGGTAACGTGCAGGCATCCAAATTCTTATATAAGAATACAACCAAATCCTTTGATAATGCATTCTTTGCATCTTAAAATTTAGCCTGAGGAGGTGCAAAGGGGGGGAGGGGGGAGGGGAGGGGGCTAACTCCAGGGTAAAAGTATGCTTATGCTTGGTAAAAAACAACAGTGTTTTCATATCTTTTAGCATGTTAGAATTGAAAATTAATTATTTCAGCATATCTTGGTATCTTTTAGGGTATCTCTTAATATTACAAATCATCCAGCCACACCTTTTCAAAAAGGCTTCACGATTATTTCGCCTACGCATCATTTCGCCTACCGAAGTTCGCCTACGCTTTATTCGTTTCGCCTACCAAAGTTTACTTAGCTATAATTACACTGT